GATAGAATCGCGAGAGAACTGGACGCAAGCGCAAAACAGAAGACTAGCTTCGCTAGCTTCTCCTTTCGCGAAATTGAGAGGCTGTGAACAATCTAATAATAAAAATGTATACGTTAACTTCTAAATATTGCTTTTCGAGTTAATTTAATTTGACGTTTCAAAAGCGTAACAGCTCAGGTCTTTTGTCCAGAAAAAGTCAGTGTCGTTTTCGGCATTCTCGATTGTACTGGATGTCCTCAGAGACCTATATGATATAAAATAATATAATGGGCTCCTGATGTCTTGAAAGAAAAGAAATAAACGAGGCTTGAAACCTACTATTAAATAGGGGTGGGTTGGGAGTGGGTTACATTAGAATGGATTTCGTTCTGCGAGCGAAAATTCAGGTCAAGTTAAATTGAAGGCATCAGGATAGGACAGCTGAAAGAGCCTCCCGGCTGCTGTAGTTTCAACAACAAGTCATACAACAATCAACAAATGCTTTAAGATCATTTTAATCCCTGTTAAGCGTGAATCTCCATGTTTATTACACCTATATCCCACATCTAATTTACATCATACAGCAAACAACCGTCCTCCTTTCTGAGTTGCTTAGTTTGAAGCTGCTCAGTTCTGGGGTGCAGGGAATTCCTCAGTCATGATTCAGGTCACGGAGTTATACCCAGTATAACCATCAGCTGTTTTGAATCCAAATTTCCGACGTGAAATGCAACTCGGACGGTTCTTTTGGGAATTCTCTCATGGTATCCACTAATCAGAGTTGAATTGCTTATGCCAAGGAATTAAACAATAGCGATTGTTTAATTCATTTAAACTCTTTCCTTAAGGAAAAAAATTGCTAATACTATATCACTTTAGAGTAATTCATTTTTGGAGCTCCTCACCCTAAACTACGATATGCTAATGAACGAAGGAGCATTGAAAAACGTTTCTCGACGTGCATCTTTTTTTTATTTAAGATTTCATATACACTCCTTCTCTCCGCCTGAAATAGAAAGCAAACTTGGTTCCACATTTGTTACTGAATCACCTGACCAGGAAGGAATCGAAAGCGAACCAAATTCTCTTTCATCTATCAGCCCATAATCTGTTTTATCACATTCCATGTGAGAGACTCATCCAGAATGCTTGCTACAAGCCTAAGGCAAGCGAGTAACACGGCACAACAGTATTGCGGAGTCCTCGTCCAGTTGTAAAAGTGACTCAACATAAAGAATTTAGAACGTCACTGAACATTTCTAAGAAACTTTGCCAAAATGCCACTTAAGGATTGATAAAAGAAGGGGCAACATTTTGTTTATTCTTTGTGGCCTTGCTTTCACTGTGTTGTGGATGTTGTTGTTGTTGTTGTTGTTGTTGTTTTTCGTTTTAGACCTTCATTTACTTGTTGGTGTCAGCTGTTCTTTGTTTCTCTGATTAGCCGCTGAGGCATTTTAAACGATAAATGCCGGAATATACCTTCTTGACTATAAAAATGTTTGTTCGATCTCAGTTGAAATCTTACACTTACAGTAGAACCCTGGTAACTCGAACTCGGATATAAACTCGAACTCCCCCGCTAACTCCAACCAAGTCCCATTTCCCTTGGATTTGACCCCACTTTTCAGTCATTTTAACTCGGTTAACTCGAATTCGGATAACTCGAATTCCCCGCTAACTCGAACTAAATTTCGTTTCCCTTGATAAAAATTTACCCCGATAACTCGAATTCTGTTTCATGTAACTCACAAGGGATGTCATCCTATTAGCTTTTTGTGTCGTGTAATCGGTAAAAACGCTCGAAACTAACACCACAGCAATTTGATTTTAATTGGTGCAACCGACCGTTCGCATTTTTGACAGTCATTTCCCGATGTTATGAGTCATACTGGCTGCGGTGCCTTTAGCTGTCACTGTATACTAAGTGCTGAAAAATCAGTTAACTATCAATTATTAACATGGCAAGTTGAATATTCAATCGACCCCGATAACTCGAACCCCAGCAAACTCGAACTGTTATTCGTTTCCCTTTAGAGTTCGAGTTACCGGGGTTCTACTATATTTTGCTCGGTGATGAACTTCTAATAGCTTTCACAAACTAGCTGATAAATTGTTGGTTGACATCTACCAAGTTTGGTTTTTTTGAGAGAAAAAATACTACTTCCTTCGTGTATCAAGGGTTAATTTTTGGCCTCAAAGAAAAAACCGTATACACCAAAAAGCCACCTTTTTAAAATGGGATTAGCTAGTGTGAAGTATTTTTCCTATCGAGGGCTTGTCACAGTATTTTTTATGACCAGTTCTTCGGTTGCCCTAACCACTTCCAAAAACAGCAACAAAAAGTATAGAGGTTCCTGGCTATATTGCCTGTTTTCGTATCACTGAGAGCTGAGTACGCTGGAACTATTGATTCCTCAAGGTCGTTGTTTTAACCGGCGAGGAAAAAAGTATATGACAAGATATAAACTGGTAAAAAGTTCTCTTTCGAAGCACTTTATTGAATCATTTCAAAGCATGCCATCACCGCTCTTAGTTACCCAAAAATTTAACTTTATATACTACAATTCAAAACAGCGAAAGTAAACTAAACTATGAAAGGCTTCGTTTTCCTTCACAGTTCACTGTGTTGTTCAGCTACTGTGGCTTAGGGACTTCCTCGATAATGATTCGAGCCACTGAGTTGTACCCAGTATACGCGTCAGAACCGCTTTTGAAACCAGGACAATCTCCGACCGCCAGTCCCACGCGTACGGTGCCCTTACCAATCCCCTCACAGTACCCCCCGATCTGACTGTGCTTGTGTACGTTGGTGTCTGTTCTGCCGTGATTAGCGTAAAGAACATCGATCGCTTCGATAGTGATTGGCTTAGAACATTCTATGCCATTGAAGGTGAAGTACCAACGCTTGCAGCAAAACACACAACAACAAATCCGGAAATCTCCATCATACTCCACCTTCAATGCTGTGTCTTGGTTTCTCATCACAAAGACACAATCCTAGATTGAGAGGTAATTAAGGGAATTAGAGGAATTAGCATTGAACTTTATAATGAACAGAGAGGAAAACAGGCCTACCAGATGCATTAGGTATACGTTATGTGGTTTGCTTAAATTTGAATATATATATTTACTGATTCTAATTATCGAGAAACTGTTGCTTAGCCGGAATTATTATACACTGAACTCACTATCTCTTTTCTGATTGGCTGAAAGCGTGCAGTAAAGTTTCAAAATCAGCCCAATCGTTCAATGTATAATAAAGCAATTGTTAGATTCGGATTTTGTGATATCCAGAATAATCAAGGTCTCAGCCTTCGGCTTCGGCTGATAACCCCTACCTCGACCTTGATTATTCTTGATATCACAAAAACCTGATCCAATAATTGCTTATAATTGCTTAAAATTCCACATGTATAAACCAATAAAAGTACAAAAGCCGCCTATACTCTATCAGCCTCCTACTCAGTGTCTACTAACGAAGTCATAATCATCAGGAAATGCAGAATTACTGACCTTTATCAAGCCATAATCCCTGTCATCGTTCAACTTTTTCCAGACGCACTGTTTCCAGTTCCTCTGAGGGACCACAGCCGAGGGGCCCTGTTCGCCCTTGTCGCCCTTGGGTCCTTTAGGGCCCATTTCTCCAGGTGGTCCGACGGGTCCTTGGCCTTCTCTGGACCCCCCAGGGCCCGGAGGTCCCATTTTACCGGGAGCTCCCGCAGGTCCTTGGTCCCCCTTAGCCCCGTCTCTTCCATTGAGCCCTGGCACTCCGGGGACACCTGGGACGCCACTGACAGGGCAGCTTAAGATCTGTGGAGACTGGGGCTTTACCTGGTGATTGAAGAAGATTGACAAGCTTTAAATTGACTTTAATGCCAGGTTACAAGGAGTTATGTTGGGAAAAGGAAGTTAAGACACATCCATATCAAACTTTGTGTTTAATTTTTGGTAGACAATGGCACTGGATTAACTTCCTTTTATGGGCATCTTGAATGTTTGCAGCTTTGAGGCTCTTTTGTTTCTAGAACAAAAGTTTGAAAGAACCGACGCTTAGCAAATTTCCGAGCGCGAGATTCAAAATCTTCCTTGACGACCAGGTATTGACAATATCACCCATCTCGGGGTGGGGTAAGGGAACTTTCGCTCAGAACAACGACAGTTTTACCGGGGAAAGGAAAAGGGAAACTGATATGACTTTGTCAGCGTCTAGAAAAATTCATATTAAAATGCTTATTTAATTTGTTAGTAACCTCGTAACCAAAATGGTCCCAGATCAATTATGGGAAATTAGTTCGTTGTCTGGTTCTGAAAATGCTGCATTTTGATCTAAAAATACAGCCCCCACAGTTTTATTCGTCTCCAGACGGACTTACACGGGAATTACGAAAATTCGCTTAATTACATGACAAATACAACCAAAATAGTGCAAGGTTTGTGTAAGGCAGTTATACTGAGTTATGGGGGTCGTTTAAATAATCAATTGAAATTACCGAGACAGTATTCTTTCGATTGGAATCAGGTCAAGAGATTATCAAAGTAAGAGAGTGAATCCCCCAAATACGCCTTCTACAGAAGGTAATAATCTCTTTTAAGTTATTTTTTACCCAGTTCTTCCGAGGATGTTACTCGCGCGTTGCGTGGATGTTTTCGTGGAGGATTTGTTCATGTTTCGTTTCGTTTCAAAGAGACAGAAAACCTCCAACGCTGTGGGGATGTCTTCTTTGATATTTTAATATCAAAGAAGCCAAGGAGCTTCGGTCCTCGCTATGTTTTAATGCTTTTCGAAACTTTA